ACTATTTAATAAATAGAAACACCCGTCAAAGATAAATAAAATAGACGAACAGGTTGGTAATTACTTGCGAATTACTTGATGAATCCAGGTACTGGTTATCATGACATAACGGCCAACCATACAGCGTGCATCAGGTCTCCCTGCTCACTGATGTCTGTCGGAGCTCCTCATTGTCCATCTTAACTTTGATATCATTTGATATCAAGTTACATTCTAAATGGACTAGAGATAATTCTGCATATGTCTGAAGTAAGGTATCTTCGATAGCTTGAACAATGTATCTGTGAACATCTGTGTAAATCTTACCGTAGAGGTTTGTCTTAGTTTGTGTTGTGTGCCTAGGTTGGTTGCGTGTTTGTACACAACGCTTAGGCAGGTTACGTACACTACTATACGTGATCGCCGGAACGAAGAGTCACCCACTCACTCACAGCGATTGTACTCACTTCCAGTCCTTCCTTGCATCACCTTAACGGCTTGGAATCCATTCATATTGTTAGAATGACTCAAGCCGAACAACGCAAGAGTCGTCGACTCCGTTGTTTACACATAAATATCCAACCAATTGTCACGAATAACTGTCAAATGTTCGTTAATACTGCCGCGACCCCGCCCGCTGATGACTGAAGAACATATTACACAAGGCTGGGCATGCTCTGACTTTTCTTGAACAGTGTTTCGTTCTCTTCCCGTGTTCCATACGCACTCCCTAAATGTTCAACTCACAGAACCAAAATACCTAATCTGGATGATGTATGGGGGGGGGGGGGGGTCATCGATAAGCCTAACTGGTTTCTTGTTCCAGACACAGGTAAATGTACGACCAGGCTAGAGTCGTGTCTTCATACACAGGACTGACGAGAGGCTGTATACAGCATCAGCATGAAGGCATTCACTCATCTGCTACATTGAATACTCATGTGTTTCAAGCGGCGATAATAAAGGTTTCCCAGGCTGGCTCTATCTTCCTCTTCCTCAAAAGCTGATAATTATATATATATATATATATATATATATATATATATATTATATATATATATATATATACGCATATTATATATATATATATATATATATATATATATATATATATATATATATATATATATATATATATATATATATATATATATATATATATATATATATATATATATATATATATATATATATATATATATATATATATATATATATATATATATATATATATATATATATATATATATATATATATATATATATATATATATATATATATATATATATATATATATATATATGTCGTACCTAGTAGCCAGAACGCACTTCTCGGCCTACTATGCAAGGCCCAATTTGCCTAATAAGCCAAGTTTTCTGAATTAATATATTTTCTCTAATTTTTTTCTTATGAAATGATAAAGCTACCCATTTCATTATGTATCAGGCCAATTTTTATTTATTGGAGTTAAAATTAACGTAGATATATGACCGAACCTAATCAACCCTACCTAACCTAACCTGATCTATCTTTATAGGTTAGGTTAGGTTAGGTAGCCGAAAAAGTTAGGTTAGGTTAGGTTAGGTAGGTTAGGTAGTCGAAAAACAACTATTTCATGAAAACTTGGCTTATTTGGCAAATTGGGCCTTGCATAGTAGGCTGAGAAGTGCGTTCTGGCTACTAGGGTACGACATATATATATATATATGTCGTACCTAGTAGCCAGAACTCACTTCTCAGCCTACTATGCAAGGCCCGATTTGCCTAATAAGCCAAGTTTTCATGAATTAATGTTTTTTCGTCAACCTAACCTACCTAACCTAACCTAACCTAGCTTTTTTTGGCTACCTAACCTAACCTTACCTATATATATAGGTTAGGTTAGGTTAGGTAGGGTTGGTTAGGTTCGGTCATATATCTACGTTAATTTTAACTCCAATAAAAAAATAGACCTCATACATAGTGAAAAGGGTAGCTTTATCATTTCATAAGAAAAAAATTATAGTAAATATATTAATTCAGGAAAACTTGGCTTATTAGGCAAATCGGGCCTTGAATAGTAGGCTGAGAAGTGAGTTCTGGCTACTAGGTACGACATATATATATATATATATATATATATATATATATATATATATATATATATATATATATATATATATATATATATATATATATATGTCGTACCTAGTAGCCAGAACGCACTTCTCAGCCTACTATGCAATGCCCGATTTGCCTAATAAGCCAAGTTTTCCTGAATTAATAAAATTTCTCAATTTTTTTTCTTATGAAATGATAAAGCTACCCATTTCATTATGTATGAGGTCAATTTTTTTTTATTGGAGTTAAAACTAATGTATATATATGACCGAACCTAACCAACCCTACCTAACCTAACCTATCTTTATAGGTTAGGTTAGGTTTGGTAGCCGAAAAAGTTAGGTTAGGTTAGGTTAGGTTGGTTAGGTAGTCGAAAAACAATTAATTCATGAAAACTTGGCCTATTAGGCAAATCGTGCCTTGCATAGTAGGCTGAGAAGTGCGTTCTGGCTACTAGGTACGACATATATATATATATATATATATATATATATATATATATATATATATATATATATATATATATATATATATATATATATATATTACTCCAGTACGCACACAAGTCCAATTATCAAAGGAAAGTAAAGCTTTTGATGATGAAATATTGCTTTCCTCTTGAATATGTGTGTGGCCGCAACTCTGTGCTCGCTCTGTCAACGTCACACAGAGCGGGGGATACTGAGCGCTTCTAAAGGCTTCTCGCTCCTATTCTCACAACAACGCTCTCCATATTATCTTTTTGGGATTCCCGTGTTGCTTCTATTTCATCACACTCTATTTACAATTAGCATTACAAATATTTGTAATGTTACCCAATACTAATGTTATTTTATTTGCTTTATATGTCTGACGCTTGAACGCGTTTCGTAATAACTTATTATATTTTCAAAGACTTTAGTTTACACACACAACTGTAACCTGTAAACACACATAATACATCCATACTTATACTCGCTTTGGGTGAGGTGATATGGTACAAAAGTTTTGGGTGAGGTGATTGACATTGGCACATGATAGAACACGTACCAATGGGTATAAAAAATAAGAATGGAAGTAACTGCAGAAGGCCTATTGGCCCATACTTCCTCTTGATGCTTCTATATTGGTTCGGGGTCTTGAAGTGGGTAGAATATAGTTGTTCATTAATTGGCTGTTGATTGCTGGTGTTGACTCTTTGATGTCTAGTGCCTCGCTGATGTCGAGCCTACTGCTGTCGCTGTATCTATCGATGATTTCTGTGTTGTTAAGATTTCTCTGGTGATGGTCTGGTTATGAGAAGAAAATATGTTCCTTGATAAAGTCCTGTTGTTTATGCATTGTTAATCGCCTGGAAAGAGACGTTGTTGTCATGCCTATATGCTGAGTTCTTTGGGGCTTACGGTCCCCAAGTGGGCATTTGAAGGCATAGACGACGTAAGTTTCCTTCAAGGCGTTCTGCTTCGTGTCTGGAGAGTTTTTGATGAGTAGTTTGGCCGTTTTTTTGGTTTTATAGTATATTGTCAATTGTATTTTCTGATTTTTGTCTGTAGGGATAACGTTCCTATCAACAATATCTTTCAGGACCCTTTCCTCCGTTTTATGAGCCGTCGAAAAGAAGTTCCTGTAAAATAGTCTAATAGGGGGTAGATGTGTTGCGTTAGTTGACTCTTCAGAAGAGTCAACTAACACAACACATCTAGCTGGAGAGGTCAGCAGGCCACATGAAGACAATTGCAGGCTACAGGCTTTCAACAAATTATAATTCTAAATAACGAAATCACTTATTAGTCTCGGATAACGCATTATCTAACACATTTATAATAAATAATTCCCTGAAACATTTAGGTGGACACGGCCACTACAAGACTGCCAGGCCAGACAAAGAACATCAAATATTGTCATCAAATTTAACATCGAATGAACAATTTAAAGTTTAACAGTAAACATATGTTTAGAGTTTCTAATCTTTCATTAACATTATTGGGTTTTGTTATTTCAGTGAAGTACAAGTGGAATGAAGAAACCAGATGGTTATAATCTCCGGTCTCTGCTACCTGGATGAACAATAGTAATATATATCAAGTGCAATTACCAATGTTCCACCTGTCCTTCGCGCTTCCGTCCCCATCTTGTCCGTCATGCAAACTCTCTACACTCGAACCGCGACCTTCCACCCAGTTGTCGAGCACCGAAAATAATTCAGCTGACAAGAACAAAAAATATCCGAGAATTATCCTCACTACATGCGGACCAGGAAAAAGCGAAGCCTTACTGACCAGAATTTGTGCTGATTCTCGTGAGAAAGAACCTGAGCATTATCGTGAATCGATGCAGAATGGTACATGTTAAGGGATGTTGGAGAGGTCTGGCTCACAGTGTGACGGTGTCTGTACCGGATGTTAAGGGATGCTGGAGAGGTCTGGCATACAGTGTGAAGGTGGCTGTACCGGATGTTAAGGGATGCTGGAGAGGTCTGGCTCACAGTGTGACGGTGTCTGTACCGGATGTTAAGGGATGCTGGAGAGGTCTGGCTCACAGTGTGAAGGTGTCTGTACCGGATGTTAAGGGATGCTGGAGAGGTCTGGCTCACAGTGTGACGGTGTCTGTACCGGATGTTAAGGGATGCTGGAGAGGTCTGGCTCACAGTGTGACGGTGTCTGTACCGGATGTTAAGGGATGCTGGAGAGGTCTGGCTCAGTGTGACGGTGGCTGTACCGGATGTTAAGGGATGCTGGAGAGGTCTGGCTCACAGTGTGGCTGTACCAGATGTTAAGGGATGCTGGAGAGGTCTGGCTCACAGTGTGACGGTGTCTGTACCAGATGTTAAGGGATGCTGGAGAGGTCTGGCTCACAGTGTGACGGTGGCTGTACCGGATGTTAAGGGATGCTGGAGAGGTCTGGCTCACAGTGTGAAGGTGTCTGTACCAGATGTTAAGGGATGCTGGAGAGGTCTGGCATACAGTGTGAAGGTGGCTGTACGGATGTTAAGGGATGCTGGAGAGGTCTGGCTCACAGTGTGACGGTGTCTGTACCGGATGTTAAGGGATGCTGGAGAGGTCTGGCTCACAGTGTGACGGTGTCTGTACCGGATGTTAAGGGATGCTGGAGAGGTCTGGCTCGCAGTGTGGCTGTACCGGATGTTAAGGGATGCTGGAGAGGTCTGGCTCACAGTGTGGCTGTACCAGATGTTAAGGGATGTTGGAGAGGTCTGGCTCACAGTGTGACGGTGTCTGTACCGGATGTTAAGGGATGCTGGAGAGGTCTGGCTCACAGTGTGGCTGTACCGGATGTTAAGGGATGCTGGAGAGGTCTGGCTCACAGTGTGGCTGTACCGGATGTTAAGGGATGCTGGAGAGGTCTGGCTCACAGTGTGGCTGTACCGGATGTTAAGGGATGCTGGAGAGGTCTGGGTCTCGCTTCATACCCCTGAGCTACGGACTGATGATTGTTGGAGCGTGATGATGATAACTGGATGATGGGTATCCGTGCCTAGAGTTTCCTCAGTACAAATATCGGGGTAACTGACAAATGGGTATCCGTTAATATTTTCCTTGCAACGCGTCGTTATAACTAAGTACCACTCGGACTGGAGGTTATTCAACACCACAAGTCTGCCTTACAGTCTCGCGTGGATTTAAGGGTCCATTCCTGTTAATCATTCGTTGTATAACCGTCCTTAAAGGAATTATTAGTAAATAAAGTGATAACGGTCATATACAACCATTTGACGCGCCGAACACAATACTTTCAGAAACAATGTCTTGTTTGCTTTAGAGTCCCGTCGCAAGATCATTTCAAACCTGCTACATTTAAAACGAAGGAAAGTCCAAATACTGAATATGTTATTTCCATTTCTAGATGTAGACGCGATGCAACTAAACTAACAATCAACTAATGCTCGGTATACTAGTGGAAATGAACTTGGCAAGCTCTATGAAGTCATGTGTCATTTAATAACTGAAAGTGCTTGTAACCCTAGGATATGTTGAATAGGGATAGAGCGGGAGGAAGGGATAGGGAGGGACGGAGATGAAGGGAGGGGCTGCAAAATGAAGTGAGGGAGGGAGATGAAGAGAGGGACTGCAAGATGAAGTGAGAGGGGAAGGGTAGAAGTGAGGGAGGAAGGATATAGAGAGGGATAGATGGAGGGAGGACAGGATCGACATTGGGAGGGAAAATAACAGGGCGGGGGAAGGAGAGAAGCGGATGTTTGATCCTTTACAGAAAATATTCCTTAAAAGTTTGATGATAATACATCAGACGTGTGATATCAATTGTTATTCATTATAATATTAATGCTTATACATCATTACGGCCCTTGTGGATTTGTTCATTAATGCTTATATTTTCATATATACATATTTAAACCTATGTATATGTGAACATTTACAGAAATGTTAAATAATTCCGACCCCAAATTGGATGAAGCAAGTTACCACTTACACACTCACCTGGTCAGGGGTCCACTGTCCTGTTGTCACTTGAAGTTATCACACACTCACCTGGTCAGGGCTCCATTTTCCTGTGGAAGCACTTAACATTTTAATATTTAAAATAGATATAGTTACACACAGAAATCACAATAGCTTGATACATCAAATGAACAAATCCACAAGGACCGTGATGAAGGGTTCGAACCTACGTCCGGGATGATCCCAAACGCGCCTTAGTCGATTACGCTTCGTCATGGTCAAAATAATTGCAACCGGGAGTACTACTGCCCCTCACACGGATCCCGCAGCTTCTCCGAGACACTGGAGTTTTACACAATTTTCCCCATGCACCCGGACTCTGTCAACAAGCTGTTCTACCTCTTCGCCCTTACTTCAATATACACAGAAATCACAATAGTAGTTCGTTTGACTATGTCGCGGCGCAATCGACTAAAGTGCGTCTGGAATCATCCCGGACGTAGATTCGAACCCTCATCACGGCCCGTGTGGATTTGTTTACTGATATAGTTATTAATATTATTCCATAGCAACATTTTTGAGCAAGCACAATTGTACAATAATTTCAGTAAACTTATTGATTGCTTTCACTAGAGTCCGGTGATGTGTCATCAATAGACACAAGAGTATGTTCAACAATACAGGCTTGTTAGTCTCTGCTTGTCCACCAAAATAATGAACGTGGGAGGTCTGTCAGCTATGGTCAACAAGGATATTTTAAAATAGTTCCTTTGGGCTGATCCAAAAGTCTTCTGAAGTGTTTACATTCCTCATAGCAGTCTTGTTTGGTGTTGAGCTTAAGACCTATCAACGCGGGAGTGTTATAAGGCCATCGTAAGAGTTTACACACCAACCAGTACATATACTAAAATCCTGAACATAGTCCAGAGCCAAAACAAACCTTCAGTGTATATATACACTTGAGAAGTGGAGTATACACAGCTTATAAGACAATCGATATTTATCGACAATCGACAATTATAAGCTTATAAGACAATCGACTTGAGAATGGTCCAGAACGGACCGAAACGTCGTCGTCCCTTCATTTTAAAGTGTGTGGTCTAGTAAATATATTTCAGCCACGTTATTGTCACTCATCATCTGCACAGCTTATAACCTTCACAAGCCGAGTACCGATGCCACTTGTAAACACGTAAAGGACTTAAAAAGCAAAGAGCAAACGGAAATGTTATGACAAATTATTACTTATATTTTTTTTTTTCATAAACCAGAATTTTAGCTTATAAGCTTTACTGATACTGAATTTCAAATCCTGTTGTCGTGATAAATGTAAACATTACAAGTATTTGTGTACACACGTTACTTCTTTATTATTTATTGGCGCCATTATATGTCTTGCTTCTTAATTGTCAATTCTGGCTTGTGACAACAACCCAACTTGTAACTGGGGAGCCGGTCGGCCGAGCGGACAGCACGCTGGACTTGTGATCCTGTGGTCCTGGGTTCGATCCCAGGCGCCGGCGAGAAACAATGGGCAGAGTTTCTTTCACCCCTATGCCCCTGTTACCTAGCAGTAAAATAGGTACCTGGGTGTTAGTCAGCTGTCACGGGCTACTTCCTGGGGGTGGAGGCCTGGTCGAGGACCGGGCCGCGGGGACACTAAAGAAAGCAAAGAAATCATCTCAAGATAACCTCCTGAAACACTGTGTGTGTTGCTCCTGAGGACGAGGAGCAGTATTAGGAAGAGGATGGGAACAGAAGGAAGAGCGAATAAGCAGGAAGAAGATAAAAGGAGGAGGAAGAGGATGTGAAAAATAGAGCACGAAAATGAGGAGGAGGAGTAGGGGGGAAAAGAAGGAGAAAGAAATCGCAAGGGTTAAGACGGAGGCTTGGAGCACCGGTCTGGTAACTCTCTTCCCTGCACAACACCCACTTGAGAGTTCCGGATAATGTATTCATGAACACTGGTGCGGTAAGTATCGGCACCAGGTCTCGAGGAAGGGACTAGTGGTCAAGGTGGCGAGTGATGATAGCTGGGGAGGGGGTGGTGGTGAGGAGTGCAGGTAGTAGGAGCGTGGTGGTGGAAAGTGGTGGTGGTGGTAGTTGAAGGGGTGGTGGTAACTGGAGTGGTGGCTGAGTGGTAGAACACTGCATAAACCACTACGTCAACATATACACTACATAACCAGTAGCACCTCATATGTTAACACAATGGCGTACAAATGCATGCCAAACAGCATCACAATACCCTATACCTTCTGTTATTCTCTCCAGTCCTTCCTTCTCCCCCTCACTACCCCCTCCTTTCCTACCTGCATCTCTCCCCACCTCCCTTACCCCCCCCCCCATCCATCCTTCCTACCAATTGTACCCCCATTCCTCCCCCTCTCACCATCTCCATCTTCCCACGGAGGTTGCAATTACCACACCTAACGATGCGCCATCCGAAATGCCGCCAGGACTCGTTGCTCAGTTCTCAGATGGCCCGAGCACCACCAGCTGCTGTCCATGATACGCCTTGACGCTGCTTTACCACCACCGCCCAACCTGGTGTAATGAGCGCCAGGGAATAAGGAATGAGGGGGGTGAAGAGAAAGGAAGAGGCAAAGAGAATGGTGTAGATACGAAACGAAGATTAAGAGGGGGGAGAGCACTGAGATGAAGAATGAAGGAAGGTTAAAGTAGGTGAAGGAAAATGTAAAAAAGGGAAGGTGACCTAAGCATTTCCAGGAGGATGGAGGAAGTAAGAGTTCAAGGAAGATGGGATTGGGAAAGGAACAATGTAAGGAGTAAAGAGGAAGGAAGTGTTCAAGGAGGAAGAAGGAAGAATTCAAGGTGGAAGGAGAAATAGGAAGAATTCAAGGAGGAAAGAAAAGTAAGAATTCAAAGAGGAAAGAGATGGAAAAATTAAAAGAGGAAGGAGAAGGAAGAGCTCAAGAAGGAAGGGGAAGGAAGAGTTGAAGGAGGAAGAATCAAGAAGTAAGGAGACGTGATGGAAGAAGGGTGCCAGTTACCCACTAAGTTATGTACATGTGTACAGCGATCATCTTTGTCAGCGTTCTTGAAGGATAACCGGACGTTTGCCAGTATGGCATATGCTGCCATCGTTATTCTGCTGATGTGTGCCTCTGGTGATGTGTGCCTCTGGTGATGTGTGCCTCTGGTGATGTGTGCCTCTGCTGATGTGTACCTCTGCTGATGTGTGCCTCTGGTGATGTGTACCTCTGGTGATGTGTGCCTCTGGTGATGTGTGCCTCTGGTGATGTGTGCCTCTGGTGATGTGTGCCTCTGGTGATGTGTGCCTCTGGTGATGTGTGCCTCTGGTGATGTGTGCCTCTGCTGATGTGTGCCTCTGCTGATGTGTGCCTCTGCTGATGTGTACCTCTGCTGATGTGTGCCTCTGGTGATGTGTACCTCTGGTGATGTGTGCCTCTGGTGATGTGTGCCTCTGGTGATGTGTGCCTCTGGTGATGTGTGCCTCTGGTGATGTGTGCCTCTGGTGATGTGTGCCTCTGGTGATGTGTGCCTCTGCTGATGTGTGCCTCTGCTGATGTGTGCCTCTGCTGATGTGTGCCTCTGGTGATGTGTGCCTCTGCTGATGTGTGCCTCTGCTGATGTGTGCCTCTGGTGATGTGTGCCTCTGGTGATGTGTGCCTCTGCTGATGTGTACCTCTGGTGATGTGTGTCTCTGGTGATGTGTGCCTCTGGTGATGTGTGCCTCTGCTGATGTGTACCTCTGCTGATGTGTACCTCTGGTGATGTGTGCCTCTGCTGATGTGTACCTCTGCTGATGTGTGCCTCTGCTGATGTGTGCCTCTGGTGATGTGTGCCTCTGGTGATGTGTGCCTCTGCTGATGTGTACCTCTGCTGATGTGTGCCTCTGCTGATGTGTGCCTCTGGTGATGTGTGCCTCTGGTGATGTGTGCCTCTGGTGATGTGTGCCTCTGGTGATGTGTGCCTCTGGTGATGTGTGCCTCTGGTGATGTGTGCCTCTGCTGATGTGTACCTCTGCTGATGTGTACCTCTGGTGATGTGTGCCTCTGCTGATGTGTACCTCTGCTGATGTGTGCCTCTGCTGATGTGTGCCTCTGGTGATGTGTGCCTCTGGTGATGTGTGCCTCTGCTGATGTGTACCTCTGCTGATGTGTACCTCTGGTGATGTGTGCCTCTGCTGATGTGTACCTCTGCTGATGTGTGCCTCTGGTGATGTGTACCTCTGGTGATGTGTGCCTCTGCTGATGTGTGCCTCTGGTGATGTGTGCCTCTGCTGATGTGTGCCTCTGGTGATGTGTGCCTCTGGTGATGTGTGCCTCTGGTGATGTGTGCCTCTGGTGATGTGTGCCTCTGCTGATGTGTGTCTCTGCTGATGTGTACCTCTGGTGATGTGTGCCTCTGGTGATGTGTGTCTCTGGTGATGTGTGCCTCTGGTGATGTGTACCTCTGCTGATGTGTGCCTCTGCTGATGTGTACCTCTGGTGATGTGTACCTCTGGTGATGTGTGCCTCTGGTGATGTGTGCCTCTGGTGATGTGTGTCTCTGGTGATGTGTGTCTCTGGTGATGTGTGCCTCTGGTGATGTGTGCCTCTGGTGATGTGTGCCTCTGGTGATGTGTGTCTCTGGTGATGTGTGCCTCTGGTGATGTGTACCTCTGCTGATGTGTGCCTCTGCTGATGTGTACCTCTGGTGATGTGTACCTCTGGTGATGTGTGCCTCTGGTGATGTGTGCCTCTGGTGATGTGTGCCTCTGCTGATGTGTACCTCTAGTGATGTGTGCCTCTGCTGATGTGTGCCTCTGGTGATGTGTGTCTCTGGTGATGTGTGCCTCTGCTGATGTGTACCTCTGCTGATGTGTACCTCTGGTGATGTGTGTCTCTGCTGATGTGTACCTCTGGTGATGTGTGCCTCTGGTGATGTGTGTCTCTGGTGATGTGTGCCTCTGCTGATGTGTACCTCTGGTGATGTGTGCCTCTGGTGATGTGTACCTCTGGTGATGTGTGCCTCTGCTGATGTGTACCTCTGGTGATGTGTGCCTCTGCTGATGTGTACCTCTGCTGATGTGTGCCTCTGGTGATGTGTACCTCTGCTGATGTGTGTCTCTGGTGATGTGTACCTCTGCTGATGTGTGCCTCTGGTGATGTGTGCCTCTGGTGATGTGTGCCTCTGCTGATGTGTACCTCTGCTGATGTGTGTCTCTGCTGATGTGTGCCTCTGCTGATGTGTGTCTCTGCTGATAGATCTCGTGTCATGCATGTGTGTGTGTGTGTGTGTGTGTGTGTGTGTGTGTGTGTGTGTGTGTGTGTGTGTGTGTGCGTGCGTGCGTGCGAGTACAGTGGGAGGGGGACGAATAACGTTTACAGATTCAGTTAAATTCAATGGAAAAGGTGGAGTGAAGTAGACTATAAAAAAGCCTGAAGGGAAAAATATACAATATCTGATATCATGTTGAACTTCACTGCTATGTGGCGCCAGTCGCTAAAATTCTAAATGAATGCAAAAAATCGCTGTTGTTGCACTGCGTATTGCTGGGGTCACTGGTCGGGTTTAGTACAACGGTCAGCTGACAAGCTACAAGCGTCGAAAATCTATCCTTCGTCAATACTATCTTCGTCAATACCTTCAAGATCCTCTGGTGCTCTATAAACCCACGGTCCGGAAGCCAGTGAACTGGTGAAGGTATAACACAAGGAAAAGTGCCTCGTCCCTTGTTGTAAGATATCTATTTTCAGGTGAGAATAATTATTTTCGTTCATGAAGCCCAGGGGCCAGATTCACCGAAGCAGTTACTCAAGCACTTACGAACGTGCACATCTTTCCTCAATCTTTAATGACTTTAGTTACATTTATTAAACTGTTTACAAGCATGAAAACTTAACAATCAACTGTTGTTATTGTTATAAACAGCCTCCTGGTGCTTCGGAGCTCATTAACTGTTTAATAATTGTAAACAAAGCCGCCAAAGATTGAGAAAAGATGGACAGGTTCGTAAGTGCTTGCGTAACTGCTTTGTGAATCTAGCCCCAGATCTCGAGGGGCATCAGCCACTGACGTACAAGAGTACATCTGCCCAGAGTACAAGACAACAGGTAACATTTGCTGCTGACAGAACACACGCCGATGACACCTCGACAGCACGATGCTACTTCTGGCTCTTGTTTGAAGAGTCATGCAAGAATCTCTGTGTTCATTACTAAACAGAATATTCTGAAGGGAAAAATATGATTGCAGATATTGAAGAGAATCTACTTGCTGTACCTTGTGTGTAAGGCTGCTAGAACATGCAGCATCTGATTTCCTGTTGTCGGGGAAAGGAGGATTGTTAATAAGGGGTTAACGAGGCTTCGCATTGGCCATACGACTGATCTGCTCCTATAAGCAACCTACAACAGTTGTTAACTTCCAGGTGCGTACTGAAGGCTAGGTGAACACAGACATCCCGTTTAAGAAACGTACCGATACGTGTTGCTTACAGCACGTGAGCAGGCCGCACTTACAGCACGTGAGCAGGCCGCACTTACAGCACGTGAGCAAGCCGCACTTACAGCACGTGAGCAGGCCGCACTTACAGCACGTGAGCAGGCCGCACTTACAGCACGTGAGCAGGCCGCACTTACAGCAAGTGAGCAGGCCGCACTTACAGCACGTGAGCAGGCCGCACTTACAGCAAGTGAGCAGGCCGCACTTACAGCACGTGAGCAGGCCGCACTTACAGATAAGTCATGAGGAAATGGCAGGTTAGGTTCATTTTGCCATACAAGCACCAGTAAACCAAACATGTAAAACAAATATGAAACTCTCATGCTAAAAATTTTCTATCTTGGACGGGCGGGTTAACAGATAAATTAATCGTACAAGTGACGAAAGACGTAAGTGTATGGAGAAAGAAAGAAGAGAAGAGAGAGAGAGAGAGAGAGAGAGAGAGAGAGAGAGAGAGAGAGAGAGAGAGAGAGAGAGAGAGAGAGCGTATTATAATAAATAGAAACAGTACAATAAGGTATAATATAATAAAGAAATCAAAGAGAACAGGTAATTGAAAAAGACGAGAGACGATGAACAAGGCAAGAAAACAAAAGTAAGTAGTGAGAGGAACATTTAAATGCATGAAGTGTGATCAAAGTCCTAAATTTTCCATTTCAGCTCGGAAAAGAAAAGTTTTATCTAGATAATCTGGTATAATTTATATAAAGAGTAAGAAAATAGGAGAGAGAAACATGAACACCTGTGCAAACACACACACACACACACACACACACACACACACACACACACACACACACACACACACACACACACACACACACACACACATACTCACACATGTGTATGACAAGGACATGTGTATGACAAGGACACTGTGCTAGAATGACAAGGACAAAGCAGCAGTGAATGAAGTACTAAAGGCACTAGACATGGAAGGGGCTGAGCATAGCATTGAGAAGGTTTTCAGGCTAGGCCGGTACAACAAAGACCGAGACCGAATGATAAAGATAGTGTTTGCAAACGAGAACACAAAAGAGAAGATCCTATCAAGGAAGAGCTCCCTGAAAAACGTGGGAAAATTAAAAAATGTATTCCTCCAGAGAGACATGACAAGGGAGGAGAGAGCCGTGGCGGCAGAAGCAAGGAAGAGGCGCAGGGCGAGAGAGGAAAACCAGGAAGTCACAGCTCCCAGCACAACACCCCCAGAGGCGAGGGGGGAACCCACAACTAGCTACCCAGTAACACCAGAAGGGAGGACAACCCCGCCTCCCTCCTCTGCATAGAAAACCCCCCTACCCCAAACCCTCCCTGCCCCCACTCAAATGTTCAGCCAAATCTCCCTCCCCCCACACCCAATCCCCACCCTTCTACCCCTCCCCTCCTCCCGAGTCCTCCCTCCCCCCTTTCCTTCCTGTCCTCCCTCCCCTTTCACCCCATACCCTCCCTGTCCCTCCCCCTTCACTGGATCCCCCGCCCCTCATCCCAGTATCCTCTGCGACCCTGTTATCCACCTCACAGGTCCTCACAACCATGGAACAGCCTCCCCCACCAGCAGAACACTCACCAAGGAGGCGATTTGAGAAGGGACAGAAGAAAGTGAGCCTCAAAGCGATGTACACTAACATAGATGGAATTACAAATAAAGCAAATGAGCTTGGAGAACTGGTACTAGAGGAAAACCCAGACATAATAGCCCTCACAGAAACAAAGATCACGAAAACGATAACAAATGCAGTGTTCCCACAGGACTATTATGTTATGAGGAAAGAGAGGGAAGGAAGAGGTGGGGGAGGTGTAGCTCTGCTGGTAAGAAAAGGCTGGGATTTTGAGGAGATGGATATTCAGGGCTGTGAAGGTTTCAGTGACTACATAGCAGGTACTGTAACAAATGGAGGGAAAAAAATTATAGTCGCAGTCATATATAACCCACCACCAAATGACAGAAGACCTAGACAGGAATATGATAGAAACAACATGGCCACCATTAACATAATAGAAAGAGCTGCTTCTGTTGCTAGCAGGAATGGATCTGGACTACTAATTATGGGAGACTTCAACCATGGGAAGATAGATTGGAAGAACAGAGACCCGCATGGAGGACCAGAAACATGGAGAGCTAAGCTGCTGGACGTGGCAACAAGAAACTTTCTAAGCCAGCACACCAAAGAACCAACAAGAATGAGAGGAGAAGATGAACCAGCAATGCTTGATTTGATATTTACCCTAAATGAATGGGATATAAGGGAAGTTAAGATGGAAGCTCCCTTGGGAATGAGTGACCACAGTGTATTGAACTTTGAGTACTTGGTAGAGCTAGGACTTATCTCCCCAAAAAAAGAACTAGGAATCATAAGGCTGGCATACCGAAAGGGGAAATATGAACAGATGAGAAGTTTCCTAAGTGAAATACCTTGGGACACAAACCTCAGAGACAAGTCTGTACAGGGTATGATGGACTATGTTACCCAAAAGTGTCAGGAGGCAGTAAACAGGTTCATCCCGGCCCAAAGGGAAAAATCCGAGAAGCAACAGAAGAATCCATGGTATAATAGGGCATGTATCGAAGCGAAGAAACTGAACAAAAAGGCGTGGAGGAACTTCCGGAATAACAGAACACCAGAAAGCAGAGAGAGATACCAGAGAACCAGGAATGAGTACGTCAGGGTGAGAAGAGAAGCAGAGAAAAATTTTGAAAATGATATAGCAAACAAAGCCAAGACTGAACCAAAGCTACTCCACAGTCACATCAGAAGGAAAACAACAGTGAAAGAACAGGTATTGAAACTTAGAACAGGCGAGGACAGGTATACAGAGAATGACAGAGAGGTGTGTGAGGAACTCAACAAGAGGTTCCAGGAGGTCTTCACAATAGAACAGGGTGAGGTCACTGTGCTAGGAGAAAGGGAGGTAAACCAGGCGGCCTTGGAGGAGTTCGAAATTACGAGAGAGGAGGTCAAGAGACACCTGCTGGATCTGGATGTTAGAAAGGCTGTTGGTCCAGATGGGATCTCACCATGGGTACTGAAAGAGTGTGCAGAGGCACTTTGCTTGCCACTCTCCATAGTGTATAGTAAGTCACTAGAGACGGGAGACCTACCAGAAATATGGAAGACGGCGAATGTGGTCCCAATATACAAAAAGGGCGACAGACAAGAGGCACTGAACTACAGGCCAGTGTCCTTGACTTGTATACCATGCAAGGTGATGGAGAAGATCGTGAGAAAAAACCTGGTAACACATCTGGAGAGAAGGGACTTCGTGACAAATCGCCAACATGGGTTCAGGGAGGGTAAATCTTGCCTTACAGGCTTGATAGAATTCTACGATCAGGTGACACAGATTAAGCAAGAAAGAGAGGGCTGGGCGGACTGCATTTTCTTGGATTGTCGGAAAGCCTTTGACACAGTACCGCATAAGAGGCTGGTACATAAGCTGGAGAGACAGGCAGGTGTAGCTGGTAAGGTGCTCCAGTGGATAAGGGAGTATCTAAGCAATAGGAAGCAGAGAGTTACGGTGAGGGGTGAGACCTCCGATTGGCGTGAAGTCACCAGTGGAGTCCCACAGGGCTCTGTACTCGGTCCTATCTTGTTTCTGATATATGTAAATGATCTCCCGGAGGGTATCGATTCATTTCTCTCAATGTTTGCGGACGATGCTAAAATTATGAGAAGGATTAAAACAGAAGAGGACTGTTTGAGGCTTCAAGAAGACCTAGACAAGCTGAAGGAATGGTCGAACAAATGGTTGTTAGAGTTTAACCCAACCAAATGTAATGTAATGAAGATAGGTGTAGGGAGCAGGAGGCCAGATACAAGGTATCATCTGGGAGAGGAAATTCTTCAGGAGTCAGAGAAGGAAAAAGACTTGGGGGTTGATATCACGCCAGACCTGTCTCCTGCAGCACATATCAAGCGGATAACATCAGCGGCATATGCCAGGCTGGCCAACATACGAACGGCATTCAGAAACTTGTGTAAAGAATCATTCAGAACTTTGTATACCACATATGTCCGGCCAATCCTGGAGTATGCAGCCCCAGCATGGAGTCCATATCTAGTCAAGGATAAGACTAAACTGGAAAAGGTTCAAAGGTTTGCCACCAGACTAGTACCCGAGCTGAGAGGTATGAGCTACGAGGAGAGACTACGGGAATTAAACTCACTTCGCTGGAAGACAGAAGAGTTAGTATATATATATATATATATATATATATATATATATATATATATATATATATATATATATATATATATATATATATATATATATATATATATATATATATATATATATATATAAATAATATATATATATATATATATATATATATATATATATATATATATATATATATATATATATATATATATATATATATATATATATATATATATATATATATATATATATATATATATATATATATATATATATATATATATATATTGTGACGGAGTTCCCCCCCTTATAATTCTCCCACGCCTGCAGTAAGAGTCATGTCTGCTTTTCCCAAGCGTTCTCTACGTTGCAGGCTACAATTTGATATATGGGAGAGAGTGAAGTGTTCTCGGAGAGCCGAGAAATTTGTGAAATAGTAATATTTTGGCCTGTGGTTTAGGCCCTTTAGGGAGCCAAGATGGCGCTGGCTTCCCTGATCTCCTGCCAAAACCGTGTGACGTCAGTGGCACCGGATTGGTCACCGACAGCAATGTGGCACCGGGAGCCAATGAAAACCTCCCGTAGCGAAAGTGACGTCACGAAGGAAGGGGGTCCGGCCAGCGCGCCGGGCTGGCGCCAGCAGTCAGACACGACACGTCATAGAGGTCGGACGTGCGACGAGTGGTCCTGTCTGTCGGACAGCTGTTTCCCACTACCGTGGATTTACGCGTCACCTGAAGTCCGCCAGTACTCTGAGAAGTCTTCCCTAGTTCATGTGTTGAACCAGAAGAGGGAATTGACGGTTATTTGAGCAACAAGTGCTCCAGTCAGGTACTGTGCCAGTAGCAGTGAAGCCGTGCAGTGACGTATGTTGACGTCTGTGGCAATTCACCAGTTCGTGACAGCGTAGTGGCTGACAGAGCCACTGGGTAGCTGAGGAAGAGAGGACTATTTGGGGAAACCGAACGACTGTAGCTGAGACGTAGGCGACAGCCGTTGCTGGGAGAAGACGACGGCCAGGAGACCGACTCCAACCTTCAAGAAGTCAAGGAGGAGGACGGACCTGCAGTGAGGAGGCACGGAGA